GGCAGGTTTGCGGGGTTTGGGCTGCCCCTCTCCCTGTCCTGTAACACTATCAGTCACGGGCATAGAAGGTAGAGGGTTACAGAGTAAAATTATGGCAATATCCAGAAGAAGGAACTATATAACTTGTGGGTTGTGCTAGCAATCCAGAAAATGTCTTGTGAGGTGTCACACTCCTACATTCTCAGGTGTTATAAACAGAATGGCGTTCATTTCTAGGCAGAACATACAAATATCTCAAAATGATACACACTGATACTATAAGAGCATAGTCATCTGAAAATTTTCTAATAAGTAATCAAGGTCTAGTCTATGCATTCAAAGTTGCCTTACTCTAAGAGTCTAGTTTTTATTTTTATTTTAAAGATTTATTTATTTATACAGGAACCGGGGTACAGGCCAGATGCGCAGGAGGGTGAGAGGATTTACCAGAGACAGAGCAGGGAACAAAACAGGCAGACTGAGAAAATACACTGCTGAGGGGAGCAGCAGGCGAGACAGGAGAGGTCTGCCATGCCATGTGGGATTCTCACCAGCCGGCCAGGATCGAACACGCACTGCAGAGGCTGTGGACAGCTTCACAACGCGGCGCTCAACCTCCTGCGCCACCAGGAAGACCCCGAGTCTAATTTTTAGTGAGGAATGAGAATCAACCTTTTTACCCACTGTGGTGGTGATGATGTTGGTGGTGGTAGTGATGACAGTGGGGATGGTAGTGATAGCAGCAGTGCTGGAGTGGTAATGACTAACTCTGACAGGATCAGGAACATTTAAATTTTGCTCGGCACATACGAATTACATAGTGAATCAGTAGAGAACAAACAATTTTCAGACAACCCCAAGGATATTAGTCACCCTTTATAAACCAACCCTGGCCATGAACAACACAGCTCATGCTGTACTGTTCATTTATGGAGAGCCCTTAAAACTCCCTAATAGATATTTAGCTAATGATTTGCATGAATTGGAGAAGAGATGAAGAAATGAAAATTTTTAGCTGTAACATGTATTGAAAGGAATACAATTGCATTTATTGTAAATAATAGTGCTACTCTCTCTTTTGTCTTCCTAACAATTGACTAGCTTCTCTTCCTTTATTTCCTCCCTTTGTACATAAAGCCTCACAGAATTCATCCAAATTTCATCTTCAAAAGTTCACATTTCTAAAACAGTTATTGTCAGATTGTGGGATTTCGTCCTACAGGCATACTATTTTAACATCCAAAGATTTGTCGAAAGCCCACTTGAAACTGACCTGGGCATTGGAACATTCTAGAGAGCTCTTATCCAAGGGTATTTCCAGGGCACAGCAGCCACACTGACGACTTTGTTTGCCATCATTTGGAAGCCCACAGGCTCAGCTCTGTAATCGCACTTGGTGAGCTGGAGACTAATTAGTCATTCAACGTTATTAACTTATCATGAAGATTGCTTTCCAAATGACCGGTTTACTTAGACTTCACTGACAATTATTTCACAAGACACTGTGAGAGTGAGCTAAGAATGGATTTTTGGGAGTTAATGTGGAGCTGGAATGGCACTTTTCCTTTACCTTGCCAGAGGTCTCCTACTCCAGGAAGCAGCCCTGGGCAGGGAGGGAAGCTTTCCCTTTAAAAGAGTTCAATGGCCCACTGTGTTTATAATCCTCAAATCCCGTGATTCAGTCCCAGGTCTTTTGGTCTTGCTCCACACTCCTGCTCACATTTGGTTTAGATTTGACTTTTCTTTGCTTACGAGGGAAAAGTGTTATGACTAGTCAGAAGCCAGCAGGTCCCAATATTTTAGAATAAAAAATAAACAAGCCCTCGTCTCTGACAGAGTGAACCACATTTGGGATCCCATGGGTCTTCTGAAAGTAGTCAGCCAGATAGGACACTTGAGCTTGCTTTTGTCTAGAAAGTGTCAAGTTGTCTAGATGTTTCTATCTATGGGTTCATGTGATTCCTGAAGGCTTCCTAAATTGTGGGGGAGGAAAAAAGAACAACAGCCATTCCTGCACTGATGTAATGCTGGTTTATGAGGCCTGGTGCATATGCTAGACACGGGGAATTGTTGGGCACTGGAGCTGAATGTGTCCTCTTGATGAAGTCATAAAGGCCCTGTCCTTAGGTGACTTAAGGTTGATTGGTCATTAAGTCCCACCATGAGGCAGGCAGCCATGGAGAAGGTCTTGGTGCCTTACTATAAACTCTGAGAACTGTCTTGTTAACCTCTTTTGTGTGGATGGGCTAACCAAAACGCTTAGAGGTCAAGTGACCTAAGTAATAGGAGGAGAGCCTGGGATTTTCTCAGCCAAAGCTGCTGAGTGCATCATGGAGGCTTTCCAAACAGTGTGATCTCACGTCAGCCCAGACCAAGTCAAGCTTTCTTTTTCAGTTTCCCACATTTCATGGTTTGATCTTGAAGGTACTGGGTGCAATTATACAACAGATACCAAACATCTACAATTCATAATTTTAAGAATTTAACTTTTATAGAAGCTCAAAGAAGAGCATGAGAAAGTCTCTGTGAGACCAGCGGTGTGGGTGGAGGTGATTGGAGTAGAACGTGGACCAGATAAGAGCATAAAGGTGATCCAGGAATTCCCAATGTCCGGCCGTGACTCAGTAAGACACCGGGTCAGTTATCTGAGATGAGTCATTTGTGGCAGAGGGGCAAGCACCCTCAACCCCTCACTGAACTATCGAGAAGCAGGCAACCAAAATATCCCCCCCCCCCAGAATAATCCTAATTATAATCCTTAGAATTTGCATACCTCTCTATAGTTTACAAAGTACTTTCATAGTCTTTTCTTTTGCCAATTGTTTTACTGAACAAATGCAGAAGGGACTCAAGATGACTTAATCTAGTGGTTTTTACAGATTTTTAAAAAGTAAAATCTTTAGTCAAAATTAGATCCTGTGGTACTTTTGTAGATAAAATGAATCCAAGTGGAACCTCTGTGGGGGAAATGGAGGTAAGCTAGAAGGAGACCATGCATTCTTAAGCCTTTGCTTTGATCCCTGCTTCTAAGAACACTCCAAGGAGCCTCCAATTTCCAGGACACACAGTTAAGACAAACATTGTTTCTAGTCAATACCTATTTGCTTCACTCCCATCCTCCAACAATGGAAAGCTGAAAGCTGTGGAGATGACAGGAAGTGTCTTACTGCTTGTCCAGCGTGCTTTTTACCGAAGCACCAGGACTGGTTTCTAGGCAGGTGGCTAAAGCTTGAAGATCTGCTTGGGAGCCAGTTTACTACCAGTTTTTAGTGTCCTCTTGGTCACACACAGAAGCAGGGTCAGCTCAGCTACTTATACAATATTTTTTAGCATACCTGCTCTTCAGGTAGGCACTCAGAAGCAGTGTTTTCATTTCAGAGGGGAAACTCCTAGAATCATGGGACGCTGGCCATTGAGAGGTTGAGGAGCAGGTCCCTGAACACTGCAAATGCAAGAGCAGCATCATGTATTAAGCAAGTGCTCTCTGATCAAAACCACATGTGACTCACTAGTGGTTGGTATGTGCAGAATGCTGTGTCCCCCTTCCCAATTCACATGTTGACATGTTACTCCGGTGGGATGTTGAGAGGCTGGGCCTTTGGGAGGCAACTAGGTCATGAGGGTGGAGCCCTCATGAATGGAATTAGTATCTATAAGAAGGACACTCAAGAAAACTTGCTTCTCTTCTCCCACCCCCTCAATGGAGGAGAGAAGACAGACATCTGCCAGTCAGGAAGAGAATCCTCACCAGGGCACTACCATGATGGCAACTTGATCTCAGACTGCCCTGTCTCCTGAACCGTGAGAAATACCTTTCTATTGTTTTAGTCGCCCAGCCTGTGGTGTTCTGGTATAGTAGCCTAAACTAAGGCAGTGAAGATCGTTGCCCAATTTTGTGACTCTACATAGATAAGAGTATAAATGCAAACAAGAAAGAAAGGATGAGCGTGTGGGTAGATGAAAGAATGGATAAAATGATGAATGGAAATGGACATGTGGATAAGGGATGGATGGATGACGAATGGATATGCTGAGTATAGGTATGCAGGTGAATGGATGGAGATGACCAGGGGTGGATGACTGTGGGTTTAGGAAAAGATGTGAAAAATATGGAAAGATGGATGAGAAGCTATATGGGAGGGTGACTGGAGAATATGTGGCTGGTTGGTAGGATAGATGAAAGGATGTGTGGCTGGGTGAATGGGTGGACAGGAGGATGGGTGCATAATGGCTGGAGAATGGGTAGATGTGTGAGTCCTGGAAAGAAATACAGAAAGACGAGTAGACAGATGAATGGGTAGATGGAAGGATGTTTGGAAGGATGAAGGAGAGTGTGGCTGAGGACATGGATCAAAGAGTGGGTGGGTCTAGGTGAAAGCCTGGGATGACACATGGATTAATGGAGCCAAATCCCACCCCCACCTTCTTGCCCCCATGGCTGGCCATCAATTAGCTTTCTCTCAGCAGTCCTGATAAGAAGCAAATAACCACCTTAACAATGTGAACTTGGGTTCTCTTTCCAAGGAACAATAAGCTCTTCCTCTCTACCCAGGGAAGTATGACAACACTCCAGTCTCCCTCCACCCTCCTTGGGCAGGGAATCACCACCATCCATAGCAGGACCTTCCACAGCCACGGTCCCAGACCTCTCCCAGTATTCGGCTACCTGCAACCTAGAGAGACCAGTACCCCAGCCAGACTCAGACACTTAAGGAAAATCAGAGGCCAGAGGCTGAGCCCAACCACCCAGAGGAGGTCTCAGCACAGGGTCATTCTCCCCGAGTTCGCCCTCCCAGCCAGCAAGGCGCCCCCCACCTCACCCCACCCCACCCCCCAACCCCTCTCAGGCCCCGGGGCAACCCCGATTTACATTCTAGAGAACCGGGCGGGGCGGGCGTGGAGGGGCCCGCGCCGAGGCTTGCTGGTACCGCTTTAAACCTCTGCAGCCTGCTTAGTCACAGCCCCTCGCTTGGGTGTGTCTTTCGCTCGCTCCCTCCCTCTTAGGTCACTGTTTGAGCCCTCGAATAAAAACTGGAGCCAACTTCCTAGGCGGCCTCATTGCCGGACCCCAGCCTCTGACAGGTTCGGTCCGCCCTCCTGGCCCCGTCCTCCACCAGCCCCCCCAACCCAGCGCACCCCGACTCTCCCGCTGCACTCGCTGCCCGCAGGACACCATGGGCAAGTTTTGGTGGCGCGCAGCCTGGGGAATCTGTCTCTTGCAGCTGAGCCTGGCGCAGCAGATCGGTGAGTGCCCGCCGGGCAGCGGGAGGAACAGAGGCGCACAGACTCTGGCGCGCGCGGGCAACTTTGGCCCCGGGGACCTTCTCCGGACCTTCTCCAAAGGGCCGCCCGCGGGTTGGATTTGGTTAAGGAGAACGGGGCTAGGCTTTGCGCTAAGCTATTGGAGAGTGTGACTGGGAAGCCTTGTGTTGTTGAGAAGAAAGGAGAAAGACAAGAAAGTTTTGTGGTCAGGCTGCCAGCAGGCAGTTGGGTACGGCCCTAGAGGCGATAACCCGGCAAGAAGTAACTGTCCTCATGGAGTCCAGGGCGCACGCGGCGGAATCGGCGCTAACAGGCTCCTGTGCGCAAGGGCGCTGGAAGGCGGGCTGGGCTGTGGCTCTGCAAGGCAGAGCCGCGTGGCCTGGGCAGGGAAGAGGCTGCAGGTGTCCACGGAGGTGGGCACAGCTGCCTATGTGAGAGCTGGAGCCAGTGCGCTTCCCAAAAAGCCATCCTGGGTCCTCTCGCTGCTGCTCCTGATTCCCAAGTTCTTACAGTTGGCTCCGTCACTGACTACCTTAGTGCCTGTGGGAATTTGAGCCAGCTCTGCGGCCAGGTTCTGGGTTTCCACGAGGTGCCAGCCCTGGGCAGGGACTGTGGGTAGTTCCATAATGACTGGGCCAGCTGCTCAATCCTTGCAACCTCCTGCTGCTGCCAATCAGTTAGGGGAAATCCAGACAGAAATGTGGCTCAGGTTCCCTGCCTGGCAGCCTCAGGGCAGGAAGGGAGTCCTGGCAACAGGGTGGCATCAGGGACCCTGGACCTGGAGCTGCCAGTATCTCTACCAGGCGGGGTCTGTGCTTGGTGACTGTGGAGGTGGGTGGTTGCCTGTGGGGTGTCTGGCAAGGCTGATCTCCAAGCGTTCTTTCCTTTTCTTTGTCTATATATGTACAGATAATTACATGGCCGATTACCTTATCACTCACAAAATAAATTTTACTTTTAAGGAGTGCCAGCTGGGTCATTAAGGCAGCTCAGCCTATGGTTAATTCCACTCAGCAAGTATTTACTAAACCCGGTTCTGGGGGTACCAAGAAAGTAAATGCCACAGACCCACTGGGGTACTTTAGATGGAGCAGAGGGGGGAGGTAGGGTTTAGATTTCTGAAACAAATAACAGTAAGAATAGTTGGCACAATAGCACTGACTCCCCCAGACGGCACACTTTTACTGGGCCAATCACTATCCTAGAGGAAAGCACAATTCTTCACATGTGTTATTTTATGTGACCCTCACAATGGCCCGGTGAGATGCAGACTGCTGTGAGCCCTGTATTAGAGGAAGGAAACTGAGGCTCAGAGAGGTTAAGTGACTTGTAGGTGTTCACACAGCAGGAAATGTTGGTGCTGGATGGGCACCCAGGCCCATTAGCCTGTACTTAGTCAGAAAGAGGGCTGGTGGTGGTTGACGACTTAGAGGTGGCTTCCACAGAGAGCAAGATGGAGCTCCAACCAGCCCTGGAAAGCCGATGAGCAGAATGGGAGAGAAAGGAAAACTTGGATTCAGAGAGGATTCTGGGTCTGGCCTCTGAGCAGAGGAGCCCCAGAGGCATCCCCCTGGCATCTAGGGAAGTTTATTTGTAAGTTAACTTCCTGTCATGTATTCTGCTTTGTTCTGAGGATTCTCACTTCAGCCTCCTTCCACACCTTCTCCCCTATTCTTTTAAAGGTCCCCGCCCCCAAATATTTGGCATGTCCTGACTTTTGAGATTCTCCCAGTGACCAGCAGGCTCACTCCTGCCCTGCAAGTCCATGGGCCTACTGGGCAGCGTCACTGGAGGAAGCACAGAAAAATGCCAGTAGCAATAACTGCCTGGGCCCCGGCTTTCATGTGCTTGTAAAGTTGTTTGGAAGGAACTGAGACTTGGAAAGGAGGCATGACTTAACAGAGGACTTGGGCTGGGCAGGCGGGGAAGGATAGGGAAGGAGACAGGCGGGGGAAGGAAAGGAGCTGGTGTTGCCCCGTTCTGGAGAGTGGTGGATTCCAGAAGACAGTGAGGAAACTTGGAAAGAGACATGGTTTGGGGACTGAAAGATCCAATCTTCTTATAGGAAAGAAAAAAAAAGAAAAAACAAGAGAGAGAGAAATGACCAAATGTACTTCAACAATATTGGACTCAGAAGCTCTGAATTGAACAATAGTTACTTTGAATGACGTGTCATGTTGGGGAGGAAGAAAGTGGCCCAGAGTAGAAAGTAGATGGGATGAGCTCTCGGGGCAGACATTTCTAACTTTCCCTCTTCCTTTCCACTGGGGACCAGAATCATGGCCAGGGAATTTTGACTCTGGTGTTGAGAAAGAGGTGTCTGAGGCATCTAGGGCTTGGGGGTAGTACATCTTTTGGCATCCTTCTGCTCCCTCTGAACATTAGACTCCCCTCTTCCTCAGTGAAGAAGCAAGGAAGCAAAGCTCTGTTGTTTGCTGAGGTTAGCATCAATTAATTCAGTTATTCTCCAGATACACATTGGGCATCTACTTCCTACAAAGGCACAATGCCAAGTAGGTGTGCTTCAGCTTGGCAGCCAGGATAAAACTTCCATAGTTTCCAAAATGTTCATGTAGGAAGGGTGCTGGGCAGTGTGAAATTCTTAGTTTATGACAGATCTTCTCCATTCATTCAATAAATATTTCTTGACTCACTGTCATAGAATCAGAGATGGGGATCATTGAAAAAAACCCCTTCTTTTTCCCAAAGAGGAAATAGACTCTGAATGAGAGGAGTGACTTCCCCTCTCCTGGACACAGTGTTAGGGCTGGGCGCTTTGTCTCCCGCAGGTCTCTGCAATACATCCCACCCTCCAGGACTGTATGAAGCCCCTCCCCTCCCCCTGCAGTGAGCAGGGAGGGTGTGGTCTATCAGCTTAACAACACTTGTTTTATGCCTAAACAGTATCTTCAAGAAATTTTGTATTTTACTCCACAATCTACCCAATTTGAGTTAAACATAAGAATGAGTTATATTCTTACCATAATACAAAGATGTTGATTCAGAAAAAGGATAATGTCTTGGGGCTTTCAGGTCCCCCTGCAGCATTGTTTGATCCCTCACTGTTGGAGCACCCGGTTTTAAAAGCCTGATATTTTGCAATGGCATCTTCTGCCTCTGTGCTCCTAAATCCCCAGGAATTTTGCCATTTACTGAGCTCTGCCACTCTGAGAGCTTTCAGCTAGGTGCTTAGCACAGGCTGTCTTACGTGGTCCTCGCCCCAGCCTTAAACACATTCAGTACTTGTAACTCCATATCCCAAAGAAATTGAGACTTAGGGAGATGGTATGACTTGCCTAAGGCCACACATACTAAGTAGTGGAGTTGGGGTCCTTTATAGTTTAACATCCCCCTTGTGTAGACACCAATGCTTGTGCTCCTTTGACACTTTGCCTGTGGAAGACTTCGGAGGTGGTATGTGAAGTCTGTGTCTGCTGTGAGTGGCTCCTCCACCCCCAACCAACCCCATGGCCTGGACTCTTGGCTGCCCTGTCTTGCCCTGGCCTGTCTCTCCCCAGGTTTGGCCACAGCTATCAAGACATGCCAACCTAGTTATTTGTTACTAAAATAAGTCCATTCCCTTATCAGAGTCCAGCTGCCCTTCTAGACATGCTCTCATTTGCAAGCTTGGAAAAAAGGAGAGGCTTTTCTTGTCTAAGAGACAAGTTAGGGCAATGCCCTCTGCCTGGAAATTAAGAGGCCCGCAGGGGACTCTCACGCTGACCTGCAAGCAGTTTGGATGCATTGACCCAGAAAGCCCCCTTATCCCTGAGCGTGTTAGAAACCCTCAGGGATCAGCGGGTTGTCTGCCCCAGGGAGGGAATCCTCATGAGGGTCTTTGACTTTGTGTACAAAGTCCAGGATCTTTAACCAAATGCCACTGAGGCACTCTAGGTGACACATAGCCACCTAAGTGAGACTTCAGCTTAGTCTGCAAGTCAGATAGTTGAAGACTGGGGTCCCTTGAGCCAGTGGAGGTGGTGGGAGGTAAACTGGGTTGCCCACCAATCCATCCTGGCTGGGGCTGGGGCTGGGCCTGGGGCCGAGGCACTAGTGTTTCCACAGCACCTCTGTTTTAGCTGACCCCACCCAGAGCCTGAAAGGGAAGTGGCTCTTGTGAAAGAATGAGTTGAAGCAGGTGGCAGATGCTACCAGGCACAGCCTAGTTTTCAAAGGGGATCTTTTCTGTCTCAGAGAGAAATTCTGGGGTTTGCACACTGAAGAGCTGATGACTCAATTTCCTTTTGTGTCCTGGCTTGAATAGGAAGCACAAAAGTGTTCTCTAGAATTACCAGGGCAGGCTAGTGCCTCCCAATTCAAAACTGAACTCTGCTTTTTCCTTATTTAGCAAGTAGATATTTTTCTTAAAAAGTTGCATTGCCCCAAAGGCAGTCAACGAGGGCTTTGGAAGCCAGCCCCATTAATCAGAAGAAGGAAGGGTGCTTTCTTGTTTGTGTGATAGAATCTGACTTGACATGCCTATGGTGATTATACATTCCAGATTTTCTGGGAGAATCAGGATGTGAAATAGGCATATATTCTACCAATTTTTGAGTATTATATGTGATAACTAAATGTTTATAGATTTTTCTACAATAAATGCATGGCTTCATGTGATGAGAAGTCAAAAACTTTGCCAGGCTTTTTGTGGGAATAAATTCACCTTGTTATATAACTCCTTAGTCAGTCTCATGTCTGATTAAATTGATGTTTGACTCAGAAGATGTGTTTGGGAGAGAAATAATCTTCCATTACTCTTCACTTATTGATCACCCCATGTGAAATGCCAGGAAAGATCACGTGGGATACATGTTTCTGGAAACATGAAGCCAGATACGTCATGGGCATGCTGGACAGTCATCTGCATCCTCAGGGTGTCTTCTGTGTTGGGTGCCACAGGAGAATTAAATGTTTGAGATGAGGGCATCACATCCAGAACCTTATGATTCTGTGTGCCTCACGCCTGCAAGTGAGTGGCAGCT